TTTTGGAATTTGATATATTTAGAATGCTCTAATTGTCACGAATGGGACATCTTACTTTTGAGGTTGAATGTTCTCGTATTGTTTTGCATAACTTGTTTATCTAAATCATTTTTGTTGTCCTATAGTTTGATGATTGGTTGGTAGCTTTGCTTCGGTAGTATAAATGATAGTACGCCATTGATTCTACTGTCACTTGTTTATATACAAACTGCCTAATAGTCTGCTGAAAGATTAGAAACTTTTGTAACAAGTTGAAAATTTTGCAAATATCTGATTTTTATGGGAGACTCTGTCGAAATTTGTAAAGAATTCTCACACTTAGTAAATTTTCAATTCATCTTCGAGGCTTGCCAAGGATGGAGTAGATTTTCAATTCATCCTCGAGGGTTGCCAAGGATGGGTCATTCATCCTTAGTGCCGATCATGACCCCCGAGACGGGATCATGGCATTTACTAACTAATTTTGGGGTGAAACTCTTCTTACATTAGTCCATATTCCAAATCGTGTGTCATCCAAATTTGTTAAGAAAACTCTTTATGAACTTTGGAGTAGAAAAGTACCAAAGTTGAATTATATGAAAATCTAAGGATGTGTTGCTCATGATTAAATTCTTGATCCTACTAAAAATAAATTGAAATCTAAGACTAAGAGATGCCGATTTGTTAATTATTTTGAATTATTGAAAGGGTATACGTTGTTTGATTTGAAAGATAAGACTATTATTGAAAGTAGACATATGACATTTTTGAAGGATAAGTTTGATTATGATGAATTTCTTAGAGAAAAGTCACCACTTAAGAAAACTAATGCATTTTGTCAACCAAATATTCCCTCCCTTTTAATTAATGATTCCTTGGCTATTTCTTGGAAAGGAAAGAACCAATTTGAGCAGATAAGGAAGGGAAGTTGAGAAAAAAAGCCAAGTTCAGTTTATTCTCATTAGAATTTTATACTTTTGTTGGAGAAATTTTTGAACGGATTAGTTTAAATGAAGGTGTGTCAGATCCAAAGTCTTAAAAAAATGTTATAGTAGATATAAATGCAAAAGAGTGAAAATTCACAATGGAAGAAGAGATCAACTTAATGTGTAAAATAATGTGTGACAACTTGTCAATGTGCTTACTTTAGTAAAACCTGTCAAATATAGATAAGTATTCGCCAAGAAAAGAAATTCTAAAGGCAAAGTTGAAAGATTCAAACTAGATTGGTGGCCAACGTTTCACTTAACAATGTGAGATTGATTTTGACGAGACTTTTTCCCTTATTACTTGGGTTCAATCTATTAGAGTCATTTTAGCTTTAGTGGCATATTATGATTACGAACTTTTTCAAATGGATGTGAGAATAGCCTTTTTAAATAGAAATATGGATAAAGATATTTTCATAGAGCGACTTGACGGTTTTGTTAAAAGTGAGAATCTTGTGTGCGAACTTGATAAGTCAATTTATGGTTTAAAGCAAGCATCTCGACAACAAAATATCAGATTTCATGAGGTAATTAAAAGCTATAAGTTTGTGCAAAATTCGAAGGACCATTGCATATACATTAAGATAGTGGGAACTAATATTTGTTTTCTCATTTTGTATGTTGATGATATTCTTCTAGCAAGTAATAGTAAAATTATCCTAAGTAAAATCAAGGATTGGTCGTTTAACACTTTTGAGATGAAAAGATTCGGGAAGAAGCTTCATGTATCCTTGTATTAAAATAATGAAGGATAGGATACAAAAAAACTCAATTTGTCTCAGGAGAATTACATTGATATCCTTTTACATCGCTTTAAAATGGATTTTTGTTTAGATGGGTTGGCCCAGTATGACTCAACAAAGAAACTATCTAAGGAGGATTGCCCAACCTCTTTGGAAGACCAGTTACATCAGTCAGAATTTTCATTAGCTCTAGCAATATGAAGTCTGATGTGTACTTTAATATGTACTAAACTAGATCTTGCATATACTGTCAAAACTTAGTTATTTCCAATCTAATCTAGGAAAGAATCACTGAGAAGCAGTAAACAAAGTTTTTCGCTATTTGAAACAAACCAAAGTAGACATATTGTCTTATAAAGCTAAGGAGTTGGAGTTAATTGGTTATTTTGACTCTGACTTTCAAAGTTGTTTTGATACCAGAAAATTTACCTCCAGTTTTATTTTGATTTTTGAAGGTGGAGTAGTATCTTGGATAATAAAAAAACAAGATTGCGTGGCACAATCTACTATAGAAGCTGAATATGTAATAATTAATCTTGTTGCAAAGAAAACTATGTACTTTAAAAAGTTTTTAAGGAGTCTTTTGATTATACCTTATGTGGAGCAATTTACATTGATTCTTTGTGATAACACTTCAGCAATTGCTATTATCAAATATCCTACATGTTATTCCAAAGCAAAGCATATTGAAGGAAAGTATCACTATATTAAAGATATGATCAAAAAGCAATAAGTTATTACTTAAAGGTGTCATCAAAGGACAATTTAGCAGATCTTTTTACGAAGTGACTAACCATTTTCGAAGTGGCTAACACTCAAATTGGCATGAAATTTTACTCAAAGTTTCTAAGTTCTTAGTATGTTATGAATGGTAGATCTTTCTTGTACTTGTATTTGTTATAGATAATCAGCGAGTGACCTTTGTTTTGAAAATCAAGTGGGAGATTGTTAGTTTCTTAATGTGGTTTCAAATATAATTATTAGTATTATTATTGTTATTTTAAATAAAAAATAAAGAAAAAATCCAAAGGTCACAAATTAAATACTGAATGTATGTGGACATGAAATATGATATATATTACAATAAACTTGTGGGCAAAAAGTTCACGTGTGAAAAGGTGATTTCTAGTTACATTAATCTATTAAATAAATGTACGTGATCATTGAGTTTTATAACTTTTGATTTGGATATGAGATATCTATAAATATCACTAAAATTTTACGAGTGAGGGGTGTTAAGAATAACTTGGCCTACCTAAAAGAAACAGGCTAATTACTTGTAAAATTTTTTTATTCTGATATAGTACGTGTTGAGATAATCTAAAAATATATTTGAAAAATCATTACTATTACTATGACTTGATGTTGGAGAAGTAAGAGGATCAAACAATTTATAATAATGTCATTTATAATTTATATATAATTATGCTTTGATAAAAGAGAATATTACAAGATTGAAAATTTGTTTTTAACGGACCCGATCCGCTAGCAACACGAAGAGGGTGCGCACGAAAGCCTCGCCCTGCCTCCACCAGCTGACCCTGGACATGGCGGAGAAATCCAAAACACTGCACCAGATTGTGTCGGCGGTGGCTGGAGCAAGTAATTCAAAGCAATGACAGCAAAACCCACGTGGTCCAAGTCCATTTTTCTCCGCCTGGAAGAAATAGAATTATAGGCATTGACAAGCGCAGATGATGAATGACCATCACGTCCTGACTTTCAAAATCGGAGAGATATCGTTTGACTTGTCGGGATTCTGACTTTTTCTACAAATTATAAATATTATTTATTTTGTTGAAGAAGGTTTTTTATTTTAAATATAGTAAGTGCATAAAAACTAGCATCTAACTTTTGAACTTAATTTATTTAATATGAGCTTAATTTGTGTAATTTCATCTTAATCTATTTAATATTTTTTCAAATCTAAAAAGTAAAATGAAAAACACTAAAAATGTATAATATATAATAAAAGAACTGTTCCAAAAGGAATGCAATATAACTTATTTATTTAAATAATTTATTAACTAATATAAAAATAATTAGAATATGAAATTTAGAAAATATCAAAACATTATACGTGGGTCAGGACCAATCAATTAATAAATTTGATAAATCAATAAAAAAAAAGTCAAATAAATTATTACTTATGATTTAAATGAATTAAATATGTTATTAAATTATTTTCTTATTTAATCAATTAATTCACCACAATTTCTAATCAATCAACTTACACACCACCCGACCTCCTTAAATAGGATTTTTTTTTGTTTTTGGGGGGGGGGGAATACACAAGTTGATATATCTCTAAACAACATACTATTTCATGCATTATGTGGGCCCACCACCTGGTTGCATGCCCACCGCTCGTGCGATAGCGGATTCAATTATGACCTATTTTAAATTAGGGTGGAATATTGATTTAATAATAATTGACTAAAATTATTAAATTAATATTATCAACTTAACAACAAATACAAAATTAATAAGTATGTTAATTATGGAGAAGTAGTAAAAAAATATTTAAATAAATATGAAATTTAAAAGAAATCAAAGACTTTGTGCATGGAAAAAAAAGAAAATTGTGTTGGAAAAAACTATTTTCTAAAAATATCTGACACCCCAGTGGAGGTTTAAAATGAATATATTTTAAATGATTTGTTTTTTATCATTAAATGCTAATTATAATTTAGAATCATTTTGTTTATGAACTCTGAAGCCATAAAACAAGCCTTGATGAAGCTTTCTAAAACCCAATTTTCTTTTAAACACCGTCAAATATTTAAATAAATATTACAAATTATTCTATTAGTTCTCAGTCACAAAGATTAAATTAAACAAAGAATTTTCCTTTTAAAATATAAAAATATCCCATATATATATATATATATATACACAAGTCCTTTTTCTTTTTTTGGGAGAAAGTAAAATTTAAGACCTTATCTGATGGAGCGGCTTCTACCCTTTTTTTTTTTTGGTCTATTTTTTTATTCTTAAATCTCCTTGGACAAGCAAGTGGTCACACCAAAGAGAGCTTATATAATACAAGGTGCTTCATAAGGTATAACATTACCAACCACTGGTGACAAATTTTTTACAAGCACGCCCCAAATAAAAAGAAAAATTAAATATAAAAAGATAAGAAAAGAAAGTAGAGAAATTATATTTTAAATCCCACAGGTCCCCACGTCGAAGATCCACCGTCCGCGTTTGAATCATCCTCGTCTACTACCTTCCATCCAATCCAACGGCCAACCAATCTTCACCAGACAGAAATCGACGGCCCCGATTATATCTTATCTAACTTGTTGGCCTTCACCACGGGGTTGGCCTTGGCGATGGCTTCTCGACCGATCCCTTTGTAATCGAACGTGCACGCGTGCTGCTCCGGGTACCGGTGCGACCCGCAGAACGTGGTCCCGCACCGGCACTTGAACCCGTCAAACTCACCCGCTTCCGGCACACCGAGCACCGATTAGGCTGCGACACAGCAGAAGCTACCACCGCCGGCTCCGCCGGCCGAAACCCTAACTTCCCCTACGGATCCGGCAGGAGACGACGCCGCCGTTGCCGGGGCGGCCGCGGAAGGCGAGGCGGCGAACAGAGAGTTTTCGACCGCGGATTTGGCCGATTTGGCCTGATCTTCTTTCATGCAGTGGTCACGGTAACATTTGGAGCAGAGATTGAGCGTCGCCGAGCTGCCGAAGAATCCGCAGTTGTTGGCACAAAGGCGGTGGCCCTCTGGCGCCTGAAAACCGTGATCCTCCGCCATGTTGAAACAGATCTACGAGGGTAGGGCTTGATATAGGAATCAAGATTGAAATACAAAGCCCTTTAGAGGGAGAGAAATCGGATTGAGCCTTTAATGAGGAGGCGATTGTTGGGAGATATTTTGTTGGCAATAACTGGAGATAACGAGGAATCTAGCGAGCAAACGAGGAGAGAGAAAGGGAGCAAGGCACCAAGAACGACAGACGAAACCAGAGATAAGAATTTAAATTGGAACAATAAGGACGAAAAACCGGGGAGTACAGGCTGGAGGATCGAACCAAATGGGAAAGGGAGAGAGTCGAGGTTCAAAGTCTCAGTTTCTCTCTCCTCTCTCCTCAGAATAGGCGAATGGAAGGGAGCCACGCGAACTAGTGACAGCGGTTGGGGAACACGTGGGATTAGGCGAGTGGTCCAGGTGGTCCAGGTGATAGGTTAGTGTGGTGGGTGGTGTCGTAACAGGACTTTTTCTAGATTCATGATTGTAGAGAGAGAAGAAAAAGAGGGGTAAGGGGGGGTGGTGCGGTTGGAGGGAGGGGGAGGCTTGCTTAGCTGGTTTCACGCTTTGGTCAATTTGGGGGAGCATGAAAAGAACGGTTTTGTAGTGCCCATTTTGGGCTTAATCCATGAATCATGCTTGGCAGGATAATATTAATATTTCAAATATATTTTTAAAAAGCCTTTTCAATTAATTTTTTTTTTCCCAACAAAGACTCCCACATGCAGCAATTGATTTTCTCTTTTGGTTTCTTTTGTTTTTCTTTGATTATAAATCATTTAGGGCTCTACAAAGTTTGGAAGAAAAATAATTTTCTTTTTTTTTGCGGGAAGCTTTTAATTTGTTTATTATAAATTACTAAGTAAATAAAAGAGTTTTGAGTTTTCTTTATAACTTGGATGCCTAAAATTGAAAAAAATAAAAATTGAATTCTTAAATCTCTAAAGAAATGGGAATGAGATATATAATAAGTCTCTAAAGTAGTGGTGATTTAGTTGGAATTTTTATTTGGAAATTGTAATTGATGGTTGTCTGGTGGTGCTGGGGAAGAATTGCGTGGAAACCTTGCTTCTTTTTTGGTTCCAAGGACTATAACAGGGCTGCACATTTATCAGGGCATGGTCATGTAGCCCTTGGATGTAAAAACCCAGGGGCAGATTTCCAATTTTAGAGAACTTGAGGGATTGGAAAAATAAAATAATAAATAATAAAAATTGAAGGATCCGAATGCCTGTAACGTACAGACATTTGGACCCCAAACCGATTCTTCTTAAATCAGAATTAAAAATAAACGTTTCAAGTTAAACTTTATTTATAACCTGGCTCTAATACCAACTTTGTCACGACCCGGTCGTCGAGTTCATGACCGGCGCTAGAGTTAGGATAAACCCAACCCCGCAAGTCTCAAATACTCAGAATATAACAGAACAAAATAAAACTTAACTTAATACAGAATTCAACATCTGATACAAATTGTCGACCAAAAACCCAAAACAATTTCACAGATCAAAGCTCGAGATAATCAGATTTTAGGAAGAAGTCATCGGTTGGTTTATCGGTTGGGTCCAATCGGTTTTGGGCTCAAATCCACCAATTTGAAGTTGTTTTGCTCGATTCAACCGAGCAAATTTTCTTGTTTAGGCATTCCGACTCAGGGACGAGCTACGATCTCAACAAATTTAGTTGAGATTTCAGGTAAATTCTTGGCCTTGTAGTTTCGGATCTGGGTGTTAGACAAAACGGGTGGAAGAGAAATGACCCAGTTCCTGCCGGGTCAAGACTTTAGATTGGGCTAGGTCTAATTTTTGGTTTTGGGCCAGCCATAAGGCTTGGGCCCAAAGCAGAATTAAAAAGGGGATTGGGCTGTGGCCAGCGGGCCAAGCCCAGCCCAACAGAAAAGAAAAAGAGAAATAGGAAATAGAAATAGGAAATAGAACAGAAAATAGACAACAGGAAACAAAACAGAAACAAAGAACCGGCCGGTTCAGACCCTTCCAGACCGATTCTTGGCGGTTCAAAGTACCAAAATATAGATAATGAAATTATCTATGTGATGAGTGGCCGGTTCAAGACTAAACCGGCCGGTTCAATGGTGAACCGGCCAGTCCAAGATTAAATAAATTAATAAAAAATTAGAAAACCACCGGTTTTAATCTATTTAAGGCCGGTTCAGGGCAAAGACTAACCGTTCAGTGATTCTAAGTCCGGTTCATTGACTTTTGTGGTTGGTTCTATATACTTTAAGACTGGTTCAATCGGTTTAGGCCGGTTCAAGGGGTTTTATGGCAAAATTAAGGGAATTAAGGCTGGTTCATTGGCTTTGAGACCGGTTTAATGGGTTTCACTCCGGTTCTGTGGGGTTTTCTTACTGGTTCATTAAATATTGTGCTCGGTTCAATGTGTAGAAGATCCAGTTTAGTAGGATTTTGATCGGTTCGGGACTTTAAAATTCCCAAAATAGCTTAAACCATAAGAATTAAAGAAATGGTTGAATTTTTAAGAATAAGTAAGTTATAATTAAATTTGAGAAATATTATGTTCTAAAATAAACATTTGATTATTTTAGATTAAGTGGTTGAGTTTGGAGGAACTGAACTACCGAAGCTCGATTTGCATGATTCTCGGTTTCTGTGAGTAATATTATATATTTATATGTTTAAAATGTTGTTTTACCTATTTAAATTCCTGTTTTTACATAATTTGACAAGTTATTTCAGTTATTATCCAGTGGGACTTAAAATTGTTAGAAAAGTTACGAGGGACCTATATGTCATTTTTCTAATTTGTTAGAAAACTTCTGAATTTCTGATTTCAAATACTGGTACATGTTTAAGACTTTGAAAATTTGACACTTTCTCTGATAAAACTTGATAAATAATTTTAAGGAAGTATCGTACTGTTAGAATACTGTAGCTAACGACAGTAGGCGTTAGACTGGATACATTCTGACCTGTATCCCCAGCTAGCAGGGGTGGTGCTAGACTATCACGTGTGGCTGACGTGGTAGGCCTGTTTATTGATTACCGACAGACTTTGAGTCGCCGTCCTGATATATGTGTATCGGCATACCATGAGTTGCCGTCCTGTTTCTGTTCAGTTCTCGGTGTTGAACTCCCTAACTTGTAAAATTGTGAAAACTGTATTTTTATGCTAAAATACCGAATATATGTCACTCGTCATATATATATGTACTATTATTCACTGGGTCAATAGACTCATTATTTTATTTTTCAGATTCAGGTTCGACTCTACTGACAGATCCTGCAGTGTGATAGGAGTCGATCGATTCTGTTTTCTGCTTCGTTCTCAAGATTAGCAGTTAGTTTTGTTTCCTTCAACTGTATGGTTTGGTTATTCTAATTGTTAGCTTTGTGATCACAGACAGGGTTTTTAATAAGAGTATTGCATTTTCGACAGTTTGTATCAGATGTTGAATTCTGTATTAAGTTAAGTTTTATTTTGTTCTGTTATGTTCTGAGTATTTGAGGTTTGCGGGGTGTGTTTATCCTAACTCTAGCGCTGGTCACGGACTCGACGACCGGGTCGTGACATTGGAGAGGAGTCCTTTGAATGCAATCCTCTTTTGCTGTAAAGATTTTTTGTAAATGAAACAAAAACCCGATTGTTTTAGATGAATAATAATTATTTCACAAAAGTAGAAGCAAAAAAGTTCAAAATTATCCTTATGTGGAAATATATGAACGTTTCTGAGTCGGTTGACTCAGCAAAAATTTATTATTAGAGGAGTGCTTGGTCTTTTAAATAAAAATTATTCACAAAATATATTTTCATTTCTTAAAATACCTCCACCATTGTAACCCTTCAATGCCTTCGTTGAGCTCTAGTCACTCCACCACCCTTGCACAAGTCTCAAACCACCCTTTCCAAGAGCCCTCCTACATGAACACCCTTCTACACGAGCCCTCCCTATGAGAACACCCCTTGCAAGTGTAACAGACCATGGTGATGGCCCATTCACACAAGCGCGTCGCGACGCGAGGCAGCGCCGAGGAGGCATCATGGTGATGATGGAGACCCGACTCTTAGAGAGAGAGACGAGGTGCCAATAGGGAGCATGGCGGCCAATGAGAGAGATGGAATCGGGAATGGTGGGGGAGAACAATTTGAAGGAGAGCCGAGCATTGAGGCACAGTCATCCGGGAACTATCAAGGGGAGATGGATTGAGAGCAGCCACCGGGATGCAACCGAGGCGCAGAGCAGCAAAGCACGAGAGTGCCTGAGGCGCGTCACGCTCCAAACAATGACAAAGGCACGGAAGCTTCCAGAGATGTGGCTGACATGGCAGACTGGTCGCTGACGTGGCAGACGATACAGACGTGGCATGACAAATCAGTTTCCAGCTTGGATGACACATCAAATAGACACATGCTAGGCACACGAGCAGCACACGCAGGAGCGTGCCAGGAGCGCACCACGCCTAGGTGCGTGGCGCTCACGGTGAGCGCTGCGCCATGGGGTGCAGCGCGTGATGGCGGGTGGCGAGTCGCGCCACGGGGCGTGACGCGACCCTTCCAACACACACCTGAGTTTCCGAAAACCTTCATATTTACAAGATTGCCAATGGGTTTGTCTATAAATAGGGGCCTCTCCCCTCCCATTTGTAACAAGCAACTAAAGTGTTAAGCAATAAAGCTCTATTTTCCTTTCTCTCTCTAGATTGTCTTTCCTTCTCTCTCTTGAGCAATATTGTGAGTTTGAGGGCTTTGTGAGGAAATGCTCTTGGGGTGACCAACCTAAGGGCTTGGTGAGAGTGAATTGAGTGAGTGGCCTTTAGGAACACCTTCCTAAGGGCCCTTCTAGTGAGAGAGTGAGTTTGGAGTGTTTAGTGAGGGAGTGCTTGAGAACTGGGTGAGAAGGCTAGACGCCCTTTTTAAGTATTGAGTGAGAGTGGTTGGCTTGCTTATATGCCGCACGATGGGTTTGGGTTGGCTTTGGTTCTTGAGTAGCCTTGGGCCATTTGAGCGTTCCGCCGTGACACAAGTAGCTCCTCCTCCCTTCTTTTCCAAGGTCTCCATATTTGTGATTTACAAATTTATATTTTTAATTTTACAATTCCATTCTTTTAACACTTGCAGCTTTTTTCTTTGTGTGTGTGTGTGTGTTTTTTTTTTTCCTTATTTTTTAATATCTCCGCTAGCCCATTTATAATTTTATAAATTTATATTTATAATTTTACAATTTTATACTTGTAATTTTACATATAGATATAATTTATATATAAAATATATTTATAAATTTATGTTGTAATTTTACAGAAATATACTTATAATTTTATAAATTTATACTTATAATTTCAATATGAAAAAGTGTAGAAGGATATTTTAAAAATTTAATTACTTTTTCGTCCATTATTTTTTATTTTAAATATTTTGAGTTATTAATTACAAAAATAATCTTTGGAGTAGTAAATTTTGCTCAGCCAATTGACTTAGTAAATATTCCTAAAAATCATAGGTGGTTCATGGACAAAGTTACGTTGTGCACACATGCTTCTCTCAAAGAAATTTCTAACTATCGTAAAGAATTCTCCGTATTTCTAAAAATTTTACATATGCCCCTTCAAAATTATATATTTACATTAATATTCTCACTACTTTTAGAATTTACAATTATCAGCGGTCAATATTTTCGGACCTTGTTCAAGTTTAAATTTCATTTCATATATACGTTACTTAAATTTCTAATATTTAACAACATTAACATGATAATTCAACAACTTCAAAATTCAGAAACTTAAGTTCAAAGGTTGACGATTTATAATAAATCTCCTTCAACTCGTTGCATAGTGAAAAACACTTCAAGAAATGGACAAAAATCTCCACGGCCCGTGGTACATTAATTTATTTGGAAAATTTTTGTTTAATCCTAATTTGGTCGGGTTGGGTCCGGAATGTCACGAGATGAGTTGGCATTTTATTTTAATATATGTTATTGCAAACAATTTATGAGTTATTATAATTATAACCTAAAATTAGGTGACATAATATTAAAAATGTCACATCAAATTATTTATTCTAACTAGATAATATTGAACTATATTAAATTCTAAGTCACCAGGTGTAAGGTGAGTTGTGGGTGCACCCTAACCCACATTGATCAACAATTTTAATAATAATTTAAAATAACAAAAGCAAAAGAGTATAATCAGCAATTGAAAAATTTGTGAAAAAAAATATAATTATTGTTTCTAGAAATTACTTTATAAAATTCACAACCAAGAACACTGGAAAAAGGAAAAAAACCACAAAAAATAAAATCATAAATATAAAAAAATCATTTCCCTTTTCTAACGTGGCCTTTTACACATTTTATTATTTTATACATATTTATATCAACTTATGTGGCAGATGGTAAAATAGAATAAGTTTTAGAGGAATAGGAATGTGAGTGAGAATGATAATAGAATATAATAGAATGAAATTAAAATTTTTGTGAGTATTTTTGGTACACTCTGATGGAATAAAAATTTTTATTTTATCATTATGTTTAATATGTTGGAATATAAATAGGAAATAAAAAAATATTTAAAAACAAAAATATCATTTATTATAAAAATTTTAAAATTAAAAAAATAAATTTTAATATATTCTAAGTATATTAAAAATTTAAAAAATTAATTTTTTATTTTAACATTGAAATATTAAATTCATATATATGTGTGTGTGTATTTATAATAAATTATATATGTATATATTATATTTTATAAATATAATATATTATATAATATATAACATAATATATCATATTATATAATTTATTATATTATAATAGACATATATAATATATAATATATTAATACATAATATTATAAATGCTTATAATTTTTTTTTTATATCTACAGGGTATTTTTGTCTTTTATTTAAAAATAAAGAGTATTACAATAATTATATACCTAAGTGAGAATTCTACATAAAATGGAGAATTCTATTCTAAAATATTTACCAAACATATTTTATTAAGATTTCTATTTCTACTCCCATTCTCTTAATAGAATTTTATTGTATCATATGTCACCTTATATATGAAGAAAGTTTTGACTAATATAAATATGTTAAGTCATATTTATGATATAGAAAAACAAAATATTTTTAAAAAATAGAAATTTATTGTTATTAATTGCAATTGCCACGTCCTACCAAAAATAGAAATTATTTTTATTTTTATTTTTATGAGATAAAAATCTTAAAAACATATTTTATAAGGGAAAATGCTTCTTGCTAGTGAAGTTTTCTAATTTTTTTATTAAATTCTTTTATTAGAATTCACCATGCTTGATTAAGTAATATTTAAATAAATAACAAAAATTTCGTCTAATTTGACATTTTTTAACGTTTAATTATGCCAGTTTTAAGTCTTGAAAGAAGAATTCCCAAGTATTAGTGTCAATTTGTGATCGAATTTAGTAAAATTTACAATTTCATTGAGATTAAACCACCAAATTTAACCCAAAATCAAAGTTAATTTTCACCTATACTTTAATGAATTTGATGAAATTAGTTACTATATTTGCTTTAATCAATTAAATAGTTGAGGGACGTTAGTTACATATTTTGACAATATGTGGGCCAAAATAAGAATTCTTACATAGTCTAGAGGCCAAAAATGGATTTAACCCAAAATAAGAATGAGCAATCGATATATATGTACTTTTAGAGTTCTTCCCTTGTAGCAGCAGAGGCTGATGATCCCTGCAGATCTTCGGCCGAAGAAGTCGGCATGCATGCTCTGGAGGAGCTCAAGCTTTCAAGCCACAGCTCGTCAGCCACAACGCAGTCGGAGTCGTCGTTTCGGTGCCAAGACCAGTGGGCTCGCTTGCCGTCCAAAATCCTCAGCCTCCCATGCCCAAAGCTCGGCTCTTGAAACTCTGAGATCGATGGACTCGGCTTCTCAAACCTACATATACATACATATTGACATATACTATATTAGTTTTTTAATTTTAATTTTATTAATTTAAGATGAAGCAGTACATTTACCATTTTATTTAGATAAAAAATATTCTATTTTTTTCAAATTTACCTAAATAACATTTAACACTATTCTTATTACGAAAAAATAATATTTTTTATTGATAAAAAATTAATAATTGTTTAATAGTATTATTAAAGAAGGGACGAAAATAATCAAGTTTTACCTGGCTGGATTAGTTATATAAATTAAAAATTAAAATATTATTTAATCTACTTATTTTTTTAATTTTCAAACTAAAAATTAGAAATAAGTAAAAAATCTAACTTTGTATAATTTAATTTTACTATTTTTTAATTTTAAAAAATATATTTTATAATTTTTTTAGTTTTATGTAACTTTTTTCCTATTCTTATTTGGACATTTCAAATAAAATTAAAAATTATATAATAAAAAAATTTAATAATTAAAAACTAGTAAAATCAAATTATCAAAAGTTATTTTTTCAAAATTTTAAATTTTAATTTTAAAATAAAATAAAATAATTTTTAATAAATAAAATAATATTTTATTTTTAATTAAATTAATGACTCACGTAATTGAAATTAAGTTATTCTCACTTTTATTTTAATAAAATCACTAGATAACCATTATTTTACTGTTTAGTAAAAAAGAAAAAATATTTTTATTATAAAAATAAAAATATCATTTAAGTAAATTATATTTTACCTTTTTATTTAATATTATCTAATTATATAGCATCCGTAATATTTATAACTTTATTTTAAAAAAATATAGTGTATTTTAGTACTTACAGAAAAGCTAGGCCTTCCCTGTTTCCTCCGTCACCAATGGTGATGTGCACCGGACCACATGGGTCTGCCTTGTTGTCATAAACCCTAGTCTGCAAACTCAATAAATAAATAAATACACATAATGATTATTATTATTTTAAAAAATATTTTTGATGTAATTCCTTTCATGGGATTTGAAGTCTTACGAATCGTTCGTAAGCATGAACATGCCCAGCAAAAACCATGTCAACACGTGATCTGTACAACATCTCCTCCATCGCCTTCCTCATGCTTTCTCCTTCGCCCTTGTGCGCCGCGTTGGAGTTGTACCACGGCGCGTGGAGCAGCACAATGAGCCACGGTGTCTCCCTCCTGTCAACTCCCGCCAGGTCAGCCTCAAGCCACTTGTACTGCTCTGACCCGGCATCGAAGTCCGTGTATGATCCCAGCATGATGACATGGACACCCGCCACGTTGAAGGAGTAGTACAGGTTGGACTTCGACCCGCTCTCGCGGTAGGGCATGGGCCACCTAGCACGTGACCAATTTAAAAATTTTATTTTCACTGAAAATAAATTATTATTGAGAAAATCAGACGGTTTAATGATTTTAAATATTTAATGTCAGAATATAAAATATTTTTATATAGAATTAAACTTAAAATATCTTTATTATTAAATAAATACATATTTATAATTATATAAATATATACTTATAATTACATAAATATATTATATATTATATGTACGTATTTATGTTATTATATGTGCATATATTACTAATAGATGTATTTTAAAATAAAAATATTCTCAAATGAACGTTTTTTTGTCCCAAATGTCATTAAAATTATCTAATCATTTTGCTTGATATTTTTTTCATTATTTCTTTTTTAAATTTATTGGGCTAAATTTTCTTTTGTAAAATTTAATGAAGACAAAATTGAAATCTTAAATTTTTGTAAAATATTTATTGGGACAATTTAGTTTAGAGTAAAATTGAACAAATTTAATGCAGAAGCACCTCGCATTATAGGACTTGAAGCCATGGGGGTAGATGATAGGGAAGGTCTCGATCTCGTGGTTGCCCTCTGTCACCATCCATGGCCGACGGCTCGCATACGGCTCGACCAGGCGGCCAAAAGAGTCCCAGAGCGGCTGCTGCGAATCCGCGTATGACAGGTCACCGGGCAGGAGGAACACGTCGTAGTCGCTTGCATTCACGTGGGTTAGGGTTGATGCGGTCCATTCGGTTTGCCCGAGGTCACCTGTACTCACGGAGTTAGCCTGTACTTTTGCTTAAACATTCAAGTTCCATCATTACCTTATAATTAGTGAGTTAAGAATGTTTTATTAAATTGAAGGAACAAATTGACGGAGAAAATTACAATCAGTTTTTTTCTTTTGGGCACAGGGTATTTATTTTTTGGAAAATTGAGTTACATAATTTTTCTTTTTTAAAAAAAATTGGAACTAAATATCTAATAGAAATTGTTAATAAAATTATAAATAAGTTAGATTTGGATTAAATCTAACAAATTCAGATCTAAATTCGATTATTCATTTTTATATTTAAATTTGATCAAGATTGTATTTGTTAATTATATTCAAATTCGATAAATAATTTAAAATTTGATAAAAAAATTTGACCTAAAAAGAAAATAATATATTTTTATACTTAAATCCATCAATTTTATTTCATTAATTATATTGATTATTGAAATTTTTGGTTTTCTTAATTTAGTCTATATAAATTTGGATTTATTAATATTATATATATAATTATTAATTTAATAAAAAATATAATTAAAATTTGAATTTGAATATTTAATATATTAGATTATTTAATTTTATATCCGATATACTTATTTCAAATTATCGATATTTATAATTATATTTCATCTATCAAATATTTTAATTATATTTGAATACTAAAATTCAGATCAAATTTAGATTAGATTCAAATTAATATCCAACTCTTTGGCAACCCTAACTGTGAATATTGCTTTTTTTTGTACTACAAGAAGGGCTAAACTCGGAACAGAAAAAGAAAACCAACTAGGGATATGAATTCCCCAACTACACAGCCTTGACAAAGCTTCTAGGTTTGTGAGAGAGAAAATCCATTCCTTCAAGCACTACTCTAAAGATAAACTATCTATTACTCTCATGACTGATATAAATAATTTTATTTATCATTGACCATGAATTATCTTCTTTATTCTCGCCAGAACCGAAGAAATGTTAAAACTAGAGGCTAGAGCTTTGAATAAACGCGTCCAAATTTAGGAATGTACAACCAATGGCCCAGCTACTAGTAAGTGTTCGAAATGTTAATGGGCCTAAAAGCCAGTACATCACGGATCTAAGCCCAAACTGTTTGTTTACTACTTAGAAGTTGAAGGGCGAACACCTTGCCAATTTTTGGTCTACCTATTGCTTATGCTTAAAGCCTCCTCCAACTCAATCATCTAATCATGGCAAAGTACATTTTCCCACCAACCAAACGGAAAAAGAAAAAGTAGGCTTGAAAAAGTGACGCAAGAATCTTGACTTTAGCTAACCTTTCCAAACTAATTAAAGTAATGACATTATATTTATTCCACTTACACTTTCTATTTTTCATAAATACAAATATAATAATATAAATATTGTGAAACAAGCACTAACTGTTGCATTATCTCCTAATGTTAACTTAATGAACTTAAATTACTGTGGGGGAAAGAGAAAAGTGGTATGTCATCCAAAAGCAGAGACAAGGAAAGAATGACGTACCAACAACTGCAAACTCGATAGGAAATGTAGCCGGAGGTGTTCTGAAGCTGAAATCAGGACCCGACTCGCCGCACCTGTAGTAGTACGTGGTGGCCGGTTCCAACGGGCCGATTTTGACATGGTGAATCTTGCCGGAGCTGTAGAAGAAGTACTGGTATTTGGTGCTTTCTCCGGCGGCCGACGCCTCGTATCTCCCCGGCGTCTTCCCGTATTCCACCACCGACGGCACGCGGTGTGTCCCGCTGACCCACGACACCCTTACGTGGTCTTTTCCGGCGAGCGATATGTGAACCTAAAATGGTTGTAACATTAAGTAAAAATTACTGAGCCGCAGGTACTGCGCTAGTTTGGATTTGTTTTTGATTTTTGTTCCTTGTTCTGTGTTTTTGGAATGGAAAACCCAGAAAGTCTGGAAAATTTTAACCTTCTTTTTGTCTGACATGATATTTTTTATTTCTAAAAGTTACCCAGATAACAATTTTTGAAAACAACATGCCAAAAGGTTTCAATTTCCCAAAAGAACTGTTTTAGAAAACAAATCCAAACATATTTGAAAACTTTTGGAAATAGTTCTTGGAAACAGAAAATAATTTTCAAAAAATAGAAGCTCAAGAAGAGAGAGAGAGAGAGAGAGAGAGAGAGAGAGAGACCTGTTGTGGGTCGGATTCGGACCGGTTGTGATGGGTGAGGATGATGGGGCGAGGAGGTTGGCGGACATATTCCGATGCAGCTGTGGACTGGAGGGGGAGGAGAGGGAAGAAGAAGAGGAGGAATACAAGTAAGCACAGATTCTCCATTTCTCTGGCTAAAAACCAAGTTCAAACTGGTTTGAAATGGCAAATCAGATAAAGAGAAATTGCTTATATATAAATATAAATATGGATTTTATTTTTGGAGTAAATAAATGGATAGCAATGGCGTCAAGCAACTCCAATGGAATAAGATTAGATTGGACATGCTTCCGGCAATGGCCACATGAAAGTCTCTGGGCTTCGGTTGCCGGCTTCTCTTGGCCTCTCTCTCTCTCTCTCTCTCTCTCTCTGTGTGGGGACAATGGTCTCCACAGAATTTAGTGAATTATCAAGTTGAGTTTAGAGAAAGAAATACGCAGAAAAGGCATGCAAAATAATGGAATGTTTGGTTTGGTTTTTCTACATTTGTTCTTTTGATCATGAAATAAAAAGCTCTTTTTGTTGTTTATCTCCCCTCCAAACATATCCGTATGGGAGTTAAAAAAACTATAAAATGTTGGTATTATTGCTAACAAGTATATATTTAACTCTTCAATAAAAACTTGAAAATTATAATATAATATATCCTCTAAATTTAAATCAGACTGAAAAATCATAAATATCATGTTTTTAATTTTTTATAGTGAAAATAAAAAATATAAATCTAAAAAATATTAAATATTCTCTGTGTAAAACCCCAGCATAAACTAATAAAAAAAAAATCACGACATGATCGAACGTCCACGAAACCACGAACGGAGAACTTTCAGATTCGAGATTTTTGCAAACTGATTGATTCGTTTTTTCTTTATAAATCAGACCGATCGATGGAGAATTACGGAAGTCTTAAATCAATTTTGAAATTTAAACTTTCAGATTGCTTGGAGTTTGAGGCTAGAGGTTCGGTGTCGTTCTGTTAGGTCGATCGGGTTCTGGTCCAAAACAAGAAGGTCGAGGCAAATCGAATGGGATAAACCGAACGGGGGTCGTCGATCGGCTAGTACAAGAATCATCCAAGCAGATTTTCTCAGAACTTGGCTGGAATTACAGGTAATTTCTAAAGTCTGGTATTGTTGAATTACAGATCAACGGGTTAAGAAGAACTGACCCGATTCCAATTCGGGTTAGTTTGTGTAATGGGCTTCGGTCCATTTAGAAGATAAACTGGGCCAGCCCAGATGGTTCTGGGCTGGATGGGAATTTTCTGAGGCTGGGCCAGGAACCAGGCCCAGCCCAGTGATCCAAACAGAGTATGGGCTCCGGATCTAGAATTCTGGATTCGATCTGACCCAGTAAGAAATAAAATAATAATATAATAAAAGAATAGCAGAAAATGGAAAACCGGCCAGTTTAGTGATTTTCGGTCCGGTTCTTGGCCGGTTCAAAGCACCGATGTGAAGGTAATTTGACTGTCTACCTGATTCTAAGCTGGTTTAAGTGAAAACCGGCCGGTTCAATGGTGAACCGGCCGGTCCAATGTTAAAGAAAAATATAAATAAATTAGAAAACCACCAGTTTATTGTATTAATGCCTGGTTCAAGGCTTTTTGGGCCGGTTCATGGCCGGTTTAGGCTACTGACTTGAAGATGATTAAATAATCCACATAGTAACAGGCCGGTTCAAGTGAAAACCAGCCGGTTCAATAGTGAACCGGCCAGTCCAATGCTTAAGAAATTAATGAAAAATTGAAAATACCACCGGTCCATCATATTTGTGGCCGGTTCAGGGCCCTTAGTCACTGGTTCAGTAAATCTAAATCTGGTTCTATGATTTTCATGACTGGTTTTATGTATTTCGAGGCCGGTTCAGTAGGTTTAAGCCCGGTTCAATGGGTTTTATGGGCGGTTTAAGGGGTTTAATGCGGGTTTAATGGTTTTGAGGTTGAATTAATGGGTTTTTGTCTCGGTTCAGCGGTTTTCCTCACTAGTTCAATAAGTTTCAAGTTCGGTTCAATATGTAAAAGGTCCGGTTCAGTATTATATCGATCGATTCGAGACTTTAAAATTCCCGAAATGGCTTAAAACATGAAAAATCAAGAATAGGGTTAGGTTTTTGAGAATAATTTACTTTTTAATTAATTTTGAGAAATACTACGTTCTAAAATGAATATTTTGATTATCTTTAGATTAATTGGTTGACTTTCGAGGAGCCGAATTGTCGAAGCTCGATTTTCGTGATTCTCGATTTCTGTGAGTAATAATAGATATTTATATGTTTGAATTGCTGTTATACTTGTTTAAATTCCTGTTTTTATATATATTGAAATTACTTCAGTTATTATTCAGTTTGAATCAAATTGTTAGAAAAATTATGAGGGACGTATATGTCATTATCTGATTTGTTAGAAAACTTATGAAACTCCTGATTTTGAACACTGACATACTTTAGAGAACTTGAAAACTGATAACTTATTCTGTTAAACTCTGATAATTGATTTTAAGGGAGTATCGAACTGTTAGAACACTGTAGCTAACGGCAGTAGGCGTTAGACTGAGTGCACCTTGGCTTGTATCCCCAGCTAGCAGGGGTGGTGCTAGACTATCACGTGTGGCTGACGTGGTAGGCCTGTTTATTGATTTACGGCAGACTTTGAGTCGCCGTCCTGATATCTGTATATCGGCATACGATGAGTTTGCCGTCCTGTTTCTGTTTGGTTCTCAGTGTCAAACTCCCTAACTTGTATGAATTGAGAATTATGCTTTAGGACAATAAATGTTTGATATACGTCTCTTGCATGTAAATATGTATTATTATTCACTGGGTCAATAGACTCATTCTTTTATTTTTCAGACTCAGGTTCGACTCTACCGACGGAGCCTGTTGCGTGATAGGAGTCGATCGATCTTGACTATCTGATTCAGTTCTCGAGATAGTAGTTAGTTTCTATTTCATTATGATGTATCGTTTTGTTTCTTGTAGTTAGCTCTGAGATCACAAACGGGTTTTCAGTGTAGAGACATGTTTTGATGATTGTTTCGTATTTCAGATTTTGATTTAGAAATTATGATTATTTATGAAATTTTCAATTTTGTGTTTGACAGGCTTGTTGGGTTGAAATTCGTTCTAACCTTAGCGCCGGTCACGGATCCGACGCCCGGGTCGTGACAGAGTTGGTATCAAAGCTTTAGGTTTTTTGTGATCATGGGAGCAATATTCTTCAGTAGTGTCTTGCTTATGATTATGAGCCGGCCATTTTCATAATCGAGACGCTATAGAAGGATGGTTAGGAGTTACTCTACTCTTAATTGAAATTCTTTCCTGTACTTATTCTCATTCCTGCTATTTTGTATTCTGAATTCTTTAACTAGATGGATACATCACTCGAAAACACGATTTCAGACTACGAGCACGAGCAGTCAGTGACTCCAGACATGCCCCGAGATAGATCACCTACTCTAGAGGTGCGGGTAGAGGCACAGTCTTCGGTACCAGCTAGAGGACGGGGCAGATCGAGAGGCAGAGGTAGGGGTCGTGGAAGAACGACCCGTAGAGCAGATCAGGTAGAGCAGGTGGGAGAGGCTTAGCCTACTGATAGTTCTGATAGAGTGAACCATGCTATTCAGGGCATGCAGCAGACGATGATGGCTAACATGACTGGATTACAGCAGACTCTGGTTTCCTTGGTAGAGAGATTAGTGGACCAGGGAAGGACTGGCACCCCGCATAATCCCGGTCAGGGAGCCCAGAGGCTGGTGCTAGTTTAGCTCCGGGGGCTAGAGAGGTTCCGCCAGTGACTGGGTAGGAGCCAACACAAAGGAGGCAGGAGGTCGAGACAGCAGTTGGGGCTACCCAAGCAGTTGCACAGGTCAGCCTCGAGAGTCAAATTCATGATTTCCTCCGATTCAAGCCACCGACTTTTTCTGGGCGGGAGAGCACAGGAGACCCACAACAGTTCATCGATTAGATGGAGATTATATTCGAGGTAATGAAGTGCTCTAGTTCCAGGTGTGTAGAGTTAGCTGGCTGCCGACTACATGATCTAGCACGGTCTTGGTATAAGACCACAATGTTAGGGAGACCTCAAGAGGCAGCACCGATGACATGAGAGGAGTTTGTGGTTGCTTTTATGGATCAGTTCCTTTCAACTAATAAGCGGGACCAGTTGGCGGCAGAGTTTGAGCGCCTTAGACAGACCTCGAGTATGACAGTCCCAGACTATGATGCTCGGTTTAATCACCTCTCCAGATATGCCCCACACTTGGTCACTGAGGAGCGAGTTAAAGCGAAGAGGTTTATTCGAGGATTAGTTGAGCCCCTGTTTCAAGTGTTAGCCCCTCACATGGGTAGATATACATATGCAGAGGCAGTGGATGCCGCTCAGGCGATTGAGGCAAGGGGTTTAGAGCAGAGGACATTTAAGGAGAACAGGAAGAAAGCCAGGCATTTAGGAACTTTCAATGCTGGTCAGAGTTCTCACCCGAGGTCCAGTTTTCAAGGTCAGCATCGGACGACTCAAACTGGGCCGGCACAGTTTGGCCGTTTATCTGCGGCAGTTTCAGCACCCGCTGATGATACCAAGAGTGTTGCACAGTCTGAGCAGTATAGCTCCACACCACAGAGTCAGGAGAACCCAACATGCCGTAGTTGTGGGTATAAGCATCGAGGACGATGTCACAGAGAGACTGGCACTTGCTTTAGGTGTGGTGACTTAGGACATAGGATCAGAGACTGTCCACAGATGCAGGTTGGAGATACGCAGAGAGCGGGACAGTTAGATAGAGCTGCTTCATCGACTCATGAGCAGTCGGTTCGGGGATAGGGACGAGGTGCCAATGGTAGGGGATATGGCTAGTTTGGGAGAGGACAGGCACGTGTGTACGCCTTGACTAGACATGACGCTCAGGCATCCAACGCAGTGGTGACAGGTATGATTACTGTTAACTCATTTGACGCTTGTGCATTGTTGATCCCGGCTCGACTTATTCTTATGTCTCTCTGAGTTTTGTTGCTCGATTTTGTTTTCTATCTGTGACTCTGGAGCAGCCTTTTCTGGTGGCTATCCCGGTAGGGGAGCCTATTTTGGTTAGTCGAGTATATATGTCTTGCCCAATTAGATTGATGGATAG